TGTGGGGGGGGGGGGGGAGGTGTCTGTATGTCTTTCTGTATTTCTCTAGAATAAAATTAGAAAAGGAAAGAAAACCTCAGCTTACTAAGGTAATGCCTAGCTTGCTTGCCAGTGCCTGCAACCACACACAAGATAACAAGCCTAACGGATTGTTAGTTTTCTAAAGTGAAGTCAAGATGGCAAGTCTGCACCATCAGACTTTCCACAGACAGCCTAAGGCCATGCCTGCGTGAGTAGGATCACTGTGAAAGCCCATCCATGCTTTCCATCCATGTGTAGAACACTCAGCCCTGTTCCAGTCTGCCCATCAATACAACTAGTATACACTCTTATACTAATTATTGATTCTTTGAAACAGAAAACCAGGATCTGCTTAAGTAGTCCAAAAAAGCCAGAAGATGGTTTGTCCCACAGCTCCTTTATCTCTTACAGAAGAGATTTAAGTCATCTGTAGCTTTTTGCTTCTGGCTGATGAGTGATGAATACATTTTAATTCACCGTCATTTCCTACATGTTCTCATTAGAAAGCCTAGAGAAGACTTGGCTCACACAAATTATGGCTAGAAACCTCTAGCTAAGCAGCACCTATAAAGTTGACTGGAAGTTGGGTCAGTGTCCTCCTTGGACAGTATCCTTAGAACAGCATGAATTAGTCTCTATCAGCTCTTGTAATGCACCACTGTCATTGTATATAATAAAAGATGGGTAGCAAACATTTGTGCTGACCATATACAAATTTCAATCATTTTCAGATGCTCTCAGCTGGAAGATTCCTGAAATCTTTTGCTGGCTTTACAAAGAGGGAAACCTCTCTGTGGAGGAGATGGCTCAGACATTTAATTGTGGGATTGGTGCAGTCTTGGTTGTGCAGAAGGACCTGGCTCAGCATGTTCTCAAGGACATACAGAGATGTGAGGAAGCTTGGCTGATTGGGAAAGTTGTTGCCCTTTGTCGCACAGGTTAGCAGGCGTCCTAATGGGAAATGAAGATACTCACAAAAATTAAATAGAGTATGGTTTGATTCAAAGTGTAACAGATTCATCTGTCTCACTTCAGAGGGCTTTCCACTTAAGGATGTGCTGTTTAATTTTTAAGTTGATACAGGGTAAGTTATTTTAGAGTGTCATTCTGTGAAGTGCTGAGCATCTCCTGGGAGTCACCACTTGTCCTCAGTTCTGTAGGCACTGAGGAGACTCCCTATCACAAAGTTTGTGTAGTTCACATCTTTTTCCTGTCGTTTCACTAGGCTGGAGGCTACCTGACACCTTCACGTCTAGATTTCATTATTAAATACAGTGAGAACTGAATGTCTTATATTCAGAGTGATAGTACTTGAATAATGTCTTACCTAGGTACCTGCTTCAGACTTGAGTAAATCCTTCTGATGACTGCCTGTAAGGACTCAAACATTAGTTGATTGTATTAGTTGATTATATACTGCAATCATGGTAATCAACCCACCTCCTTTCCAACCCCTTCCCAACTCACACGGATGCCATGTAAAGACTGAGGATAGGCCACAGCTGTGTATAGTCATACATGCTGGTAAGGCTTCATTCTGGTATCTCCATTGATTGACACATAGCAAGATGTGAGCCAAAAATCCCTCTGGAAACCAAACAGCTTAGGGAGCAGTTTGGGCAGCCAAAATCCAACCTCAGTTCTATCAACATAATTTTTAGTGTAATTTTGCAACATGAGAGAAAGAGAAAGACAGGTAGAAAGGATGGGGATAATCCTTGAAAAGACCATGCCATACCTGGACCTTTGTAAACAATTCTGCGAGTGAGTAACACAAAAGACATCAGCACAAGTAGTGTGAGTTGGTTTGTTCAAGTAGTACACGTTTTTGTAGTTCAGTTAGTGCTAGCATAAATTCCTTGCTGATAGGTTTTCTCTTAGCTGAAACTTATGATTAATAAACTATAGAAAATAAATTTAGATGGAAAAGTAAAATCTAAGGTCTTTTAACATTTTCCTCACATATTTGGAGGAGGTTCTCACATCGAAGTCGAGAATCTTCTAGAAGCTCTGCAGCTGAGCAGCCCCCAGCATCTGCTGAGTAACGCTGTTGTTGAGAGTCAACACCAACCCAGAAAGAACAAAGTTAAAGTAGCTGTTCTCATCTCTGGAACAGGTGAGCTTTCCTTTATCCATCACATAGAGGAATGTCCTTGCAAAGGAGAGGCTGAATTCAGCCTCGATTCAAGTACATCCACCTTGTCTTTTCAGTAGAGTCTGTGCAACCTTCTAAAACTAAGGTTGCATTTTGACTGGAAGGCAAGCAGTTGCATTGTACTGCTTAACGTGAGCCATATTAGTGCACAAATTCCTTAGTTGTCTTCTAGTTGTGCAGTTGTTGAAAGCAAGATTTTTGTTAGATAAACGGGACTGAGAGCCGATTCTCGGTGACATAGGTGCTCATCTATTTCATGAATGTTTGCTCTCTCTTCATTTGAGGCACAAACCTTGCTGCGCTCATCAGTTATGCAAAAGAGCCAGGCAGTTGTGCTCAAGTTGTCCTTGTCATCTCCAACAAGTCTGGTGTGGAAGAACTACGAAATGCAGCCCGGGCTGGAATTCCCACCAGGGTAAAGACACTTGTTTCCTTTTTATCACCAACTCACAGCTACTGAATCTGTAGGTCTCACTTTTGTTTAAAACCTTCACCGTGGATAAGTGGATGTAGCACAAAGCTGTCAAAGTTATCAGTAGAGGCAGAGCTGAAAGCTGTATGGACAGCGCTCACTGGAGGCTGCGAGTCTTTCCCGTCTTTGCAGTGCGTGCTACAGTCCAGAGTTAAGAAGGGACTCAAAACTGCAAGTGCTTTGATGATTTGGGTCTGAGACTGTAGCCCATGCAGCTTCAAGCTTTAACTGAAATCAGGAAGCCTTTGCTCTGCAAAAGGCATAAGCGTGTTGTCTCCTTGGCTCATCCCTTCTTTGAAAGACCTTTGTCTCATGTTGTGCTCAGTCACTTTTAGTGGCACTATACAAGTCTTTTCTCCTGCCTGTGGTCAGTAAAGTAGCACTGCATTACAGAAACTTTCACTGGTTTGTTTCATAAAAAAAAAACATAGAAAGGGACTACCATCATGTCATCATATTGTCAAAGTATAGAATTTGAAAACATTCACTAACTTGGGATTTCAAATGCAGCCCACCAGGAACTCCTCCTTCTAACATTAAATGATTTTGAACAGTTAACATGTTTGTACAGCTATGCAGAGATGGAAATAAATACTGTTAGAGGCTCTCCATGCATTAAAGTTTTCAGCAAGCTTCCCCAACAGCTGAGTTAGATTCACATTACTTTTTTTCTGGCAGTATAAAGACTCATCTCCAGAAAAAAGGTTATGTTATGTCAAAATTCATTCGTATTTTCACAGGCAAGAGCATGACAGCTTTGTTAGCCCCTTATTTGAATGTCCTCATGAACAGAGTCAGGAATCAACACTTACCTGGGGAGCTGAGGCTGAGAGGTGGAGTAGAAATAAAAAAGTTCCTGACTCCTCCTCCCCTTACACAGAATGTCTGGCCAGTTTGTTGTCTTTTTAGGTAAGTTCAGGGTTTTTCATAGGCCACTACGGACTAACTGGTGGTGATGTTGTCAATGAGTCATTACTATTCTTACTTTAGTCTTTGGCTAGACATTCTGGAGTAAGAGATCAGTATCTTCTGATGTGTTCCCCCTTACTTCCCTCTACACCACATTACCCCCATTTCTCTTTTCACACTTGGCTTCTCTTTGTGCAGATTTTCTACACAAAGTAGAAAGCATCCTGTGTGATACAGCCAGTGTTAGCTGGCAAGTGATTGGGGTGTTCCCAGGAATGTTTATATGAATGTAAAAAATCACAAATATCCTGAAATATCCACCAACTTACAACTTTTTAAATCCTTGAGTGTTCTGGAATGAATCGAGTTTGCTTTCTCTTTGTTGCCCAAGTAGCTGCTCTCATTCACACAAAGTTATTTCCTTGATACAGCCTTTGATATGTTTTGGTATTTTAGGTGATTGATCATAAGTTATATGGGAGTCGCTCTGAATTTGACAGCACAATTGACCGAGTTCTTGAAGAATTCGCTGTTGAACTAATATGTCTTTCAGGATTTATGAGAATTTTGTCCAGTCCTTTTCTCAGAAAATGGAAAGGTAAGAAAGTAAGAAAGTGTACAAGAGAAATTAAAATATGGATGCTTGGTCTCACCAGAATTACACAGTCATAGTTCTTCATCTTTTGGTTAAATCTCTCACGGCCTTGCTGACACTGAGGTTTGCATGTAAATCGGTGGGGCTGCCCTATGCTTTCAGTCATTCCGAATGCACTGGGATCCTGACTCTGCATTGGCAGAGAAACTCCTTGTGCTGCCATAATGAGTAGGGGCAAAATCAGGGTCAGGGAGTTGGTCTGTCTGCCTTTCCTCTGGGAAGGAGAAGTGCCTGCGGAGCAGGCAGGAGTTTGGTTCCGTCTGCAGTAGGGGACAGGCAGCATAACCGTGTCGTTTGTCAAGGAGCTGTGCTGGGGAGTTCTGCTGAACTTACTCCCTGCAGCTGTCACTCAGAAAAAAATGGGAGAGTGCTTGATTTCTCAGTTCATCTCCCTCCTGTGCTGCCCTGAGGGGTGCACAGCGTAGCACTACTCTGCCCTGTGGGCTGGAAACACAGCCATTATAGACCCTGAGTGAGCATGGCTCTGCTGGGGACAGAGCTTTCTTTAGATGCATCCCAGGCCAGTGGAGGGGGGGGAACACACACTCTGCTTTCCTCCTGGCTCTAGGCGCCGAGTGCCAGCTCCTGAGGCCTTACTCAGAAGTTACTCACTCGCTGTGCAGCTTGCACTTGGACAGGCTTCTTTGGGAATGATGTTTCCTATGAAAATCACTTCCACCTGTGCAGTGGCTCTGCATGAGGCTGCAGTGTGAAGTCTTCTGCTTCCAAGCCCCTCATCTGCAGCATGAGGGCTGGTCGCCTGGGAGGGACAGACTTCCCGTCCGGCTGTCCATCCAGAGCCACAAAAGCAAATGAGGTCCTTGGCCTTAACTGAAACATGTTTGCCTGGCCACTGCCAAAGCCTGCACACCATCACCTGTGTTCCTGGAAGAGCAGTATTTCCTCAGATCAGAGCAGCGATTCCTCAGATTTCCTTAGAGAACGTAACACCATGTACGAGTGTTGCTTTATAACCTGAATCTGAACATGCCCTGTTATGTTCTGACTGCAGTTGAGACCATTTAAACTCCCGAGTGATGCTCAATGTTGTTCTTTGGAACTGATGGTCGCACCTCACTTTTATTTTTAAAGGAAACGTAGTTCAAATTGATTTTTTTTTTTTTTTCTTTTTTTTCTCCTCTTACACTAATGCCCAGGAAAAATTTTGAATGCTTCCCCATCACTTTTCCCACCAATCAAGGACGGAAATGCCCATCAGCAAGCCCTGCAAAGTGGATTCAAAGTCACAGGTTGCACCGTGCATTTTGTTCTGGTAAGTGTCCTCTTGCCTAACATTGACTGTTATGAAAAGGAATTTGCTTTTTTCTTGTCTTTCTGAAGGCAGAAACAGGAAGAGATAACAGGAATGTGTGAAAAGCTTGGGACTGTTACCGGTAAAAACAGGAAGATATGGGCGTTACATTGTATTTGTGGTTTCTTAAGGTCCTGTATTCTTCCTTCATATTACGGGGAGGGTTTTTTTCAGTTTCTCCTACTCTCAGCAAACTGCCCTCTGAATCTTCTAGCCCATCTCTCTCTTCCTGCTGTACTCCCTAGATGTACTTTAAGCCTCCTGCACACAACTACACGTGCTCTCGCCAAGACCTCTCGTAAGACTTTGCCCCATCCACATCATCCATAACCTTCCCGAGACTGTTCACCAGCTTCTTCTAAAAGACTTCCAATCTCTCCATTTTAGGAGGAGTCTAGTCCAAAAGCAGTGATCCATCAGGAGCCAGTGTCTGTGAAGTCAGACGACACCGAGGAGACACTGTCAGAAAGGGTTAAAGAAGCTGAGTGTCGGGCTTTTCCCATCGCCCTGCAGCTGGTGGCCAGTGGAGCAGTGCAGTTAGGAGCCGATGGTAAAACCTGCTGGAAACAAGGGAGCCAAAGTCTGTGTCTTCAAGCAGAGAAGAGAGACTGCACATCCTCTCTCGTGGCTCCGGAGCCTCAAGAAAACGATGTGGTGTAGCCATGTTAATGAGTGGCTTGCTCTCTGCTCATCTTTTCCCCCCTCCTCCTCCCTGACCTCAATGTGCTTCTCTTTCACTCAGCCATGAGTGTCACAGGTTTTCATTCTGAGCTGTGATCCTTTTCCCTTAGTTTGCAGCTTTAGTTACGCTCCTTTTGCAAAATCGGTGGCAGAAGCCAAGCTATCATTTCAGATTTTGAATTTCTTTGTTCTGTTTTTTCATTTGTAAAGGAGATACTGTGTTACAAATTGAAGAGGGGGCTTAAGCTGTAAAAATGGACTAGCGCTTCAGAGGGAAATTAATTCTTCTGAGGGATCAATTTTTGCTGGCTGCATCACATTGCAGAGCACCAAGAGCTTCACAAAACAACCACAAACAGGAATCATGCTGCTGCAGGATGGTGACCAGTTCCTGTTGGATGGAAGAGGCCAGACATGTCGGGGCAGATCAGAAGCGAGGCCCAGCCTAGCACAGTGTGGATTTGGAGATGACCAAGCATTAGGGACGAATGCGTAGTTCCATGGGAGGAGGTGGGAGCCTACAAGGACTTCATCCTTGTGAGCCGCACCACCATGGGAGCGCATCGCGGTACGGAGAAGAGGAGATGTGAACGTGCATCACTGTGGGAGACTCTTGAGCTGCCAAGCAGAAGATCCAAAGGCCAAAAAAGCAGGGAACCTTCAGAAGGCAAACCAAAATGAAACCAACTCCCCTTCACAGAGTGTCAATATGATGTAATAGTGTACATCAGACATTCAGTGTAATACTGAACATACATCCAGACACTTTCCCCTGCTCCTTGAAAGGGACTGGCGCATAGACATTCCCAGAATTTCATATTAAAACAGTTAGATCTTGAGGGATGAAAATTTGATTAGAGGGACAAGAAACACCAGATTTCAGGCATTTTTCATCCTTCATCCTTGAAATCAGCAGAACAAGACATCCTCAGCTTAACTTGCAGAAGGAAGATCTCAGTTTTCTTTCTTGACTGAAGGATTGGCTTGGTCCAGAGAGTTGCTGCTGTTAAATAAAACCTTTGTGGAAGCTCATTATATATCTGCCAGAATAACAACTGTCATGCAAGTAACAAATCAGAGGAAGAAAGCTAGCTAAGCAGCTACTCGAACTAGAAAAGAAGTAGTCAGAGCTGAATTTTCCAGAGAAGGGATCACTAAGAGCCATTAGATGCAGCGAAAAAAATGTATTCTTGTTTTGGTATTACATGTACTGTACTAGTAAGGGACATACTGTATATCTCACTCTTGGCTGTACCAGGCTGTTGGAGAGCGTGAGTCAGCTCCATTAAAAAGGTCTAAATTTTTCCTAAAAGAAAAGTCTAAATTTTTTTAATGTGTAGCTAGGGGTGTTTCAGTAGTTAGGGAGGGGAGAAAAATTCAGTTCCCTCCTGTAAGCGCTGCCATTTATGCACAGAAATCTGTATTTGTCTCTTGCGCGCCAATGACTGGAGCAAGGAACTTGTATTTTTCATGATCTGGGAGAAATAGGAAGAACTGTAACCAGGCAAGATTAACAAATATTTGGTGTGTGTATAT